ACAGTGTAGAAAACACGTTTCGTCTTTGTCACGGACTTTTTCGAAAGTAAATAAAAACACTCCGGTCCAGCCTCGTCGTTCTAACGATAAACACGCGCTTTTCAACTATGCATTACGCTCGAAATACGAAAACTGAGAAACAATGATGCCGGCGTACCTTTAGATTATACGGTTTGTGACATTGGCGCGCGATTCCAAACTCTGGAAATATTTACATTACAATTCGGGATCGTTCATCGTCGCGTCGATTAACGCGCTAAATTTCCGTTTGGTTGAAGGCAAACAGAAATTTGATCTTAATCGGTCATCAAAATAATAAACAGAAACGCAAAATAATGGAGATAGAAGTTCTCGCAATCAGGGTTATTCGCGCTATCGTTTATTGGCCAGGTACGCCGGCGTCGCTAATCACGTTCAGCTATTTTCCCACTCGTAACCGAAAGATTTTCTGCCCGGTAATCGAGTAATATCGAAGGCGTTCTCGAAAGAAAAAACCCATAGATTTGGCGAATCGAGCTGACGTAACGGGCAAACACGAAATTAATTTCAGATCGCCGCACCGCAATCCAAACGATTGCGAGCAAGTTCGATCACCTTGCGTTGCGATCGCGCAATTAAATTACGAGAGTAAGAGGCCATCGAGCAAGAGCTCGGAGAACCGCAGTGCCGCATACGCGGTGCAACATTCTGGAATTTCGGGAAGTCCTATTAAACGCGAAAATACTTTTAACGCGCACCATGTACATGCTACGTACGCGTCAGAGAATACTGTACGTACTCGAGGTTGTATTTCCCGACGGATGCATCCACGGTAACAAGAATCGCGACGTACATACATTATGGAAACAAACACGTCCGGGAGCAGCTCGAAATGAAATATTCGCCGACTTGTTCGTAGCCCCCTGAACCTGTTCGCTGTTGTTACGTTCCCCAATGATTTCACGCTTTACGTTTATAAGATACTTTCGAATATCGCGGATGAAACATCGAGCTAAACGATCGGTATCAAAATCGTCGTACGAGCTTTCCGTCAATGCTCCAATGAAACTTCACTTTCGTCAAGAAAAATTCTGTAAGAAAGGGCTTCTGGGAATATAAAGTACGAAGAAACGAAACAATTTACGAGATGTCGCGTACTGTAGCTTATTAATCGTATAAAATACGCAAAATATGGAGAAGGGCAAATCGGTCGTCGAACAAACGGATCGCGAAAACGCGTGTCCCGTGTGTTTCATCGATTCGAAAAGTAACCGATTGTCGAAAAAATAGAGATATTTACAAGAATGATGCGTAGCAGGTCGCATAGTAATCCCGATAAATGTACAGTTTCCTCCGTTGATGCACTCACGCTGGCAGCAACAACATCGTGCACAACCGAACAAAACGTAATTTTCCGTCGACAACGTAACACCCGATTCGCTCTGTGTTCAAGACGAACGTGCACTGACGAACAATCGGTGTCTACGACGCGGCGTCGGCCGTTTCGACGTCTCGCGTCGGCGCTCTAACGCCACTTCTTTCCTTGCGAACCACTTCTTCACCTGCTACTGTTCTATCGAAACGATCTCGTTTCGTTTCTTCTACAGCAGCTGTCATGACACCTACGCACTTTTTTTCATGTTATTTTTATTTTCATGTAAATTTCTGATTTCGCGTTAACGATAACCAATTCGACATTTGTTACTTACCACAAACCTCAAACGTATCGGCAGGTCGGTATTGCCCCGAAAAGCTCATTGTTTGTAGCGGACAAAATTACCAGCTTCTTTTGATGGATAACAAGCTTGTATAAGAAGAAAAAATATATGATCCGCCGTCGACCAGTAACCAGCGTGATAAGCCAGTTGCCAACTTTCTTATACCTAGTTACAGGTATTAACTGTAACAAATGCATCCGACATCTGTCTCTGTAACAGTGCTCTTTTCTTTCTATCTCGCTCTCTTGAGACTGATTTTTCTTTCGCACGTCTTACAAACCCAATCTTTATTCCTAATGTCTATTGGGTACCAACTCCTGCCGCTCGTATCTTTACGAACTACGAATCTTCGTTGTGTTTAGAATAACATATGCATATTTTACTGTAATCTAGTCAGTTACTGTAATATAAGAAATATCATGATTTACATGCAAAACAGACGATTTTAACTCGGTACGTAATGGCGACTACGACAAGAATATTGCGTACGGTTCTAACAGAAATGATTCCTTCGATCTTATTCATTTTTGCTTGGGACGAAAATTGACGTTCACACAATAACACAGTGTATTACTTATTCATCCGTGAAAATTAATTAAAACGAGCGATACCACTACACGATAATTCTTGGACATCACTCAACACCCCCTAAAATTATGCTAAAATAAATATTATCAGGTATACTTGCTTCTTGATACTAGCAACATTAATTTCTGTACAAAAATTACAAACTTTCCAGAAAGAATCACTTTCATTCGACTAACGAGAAGCCATAATTGTAACTACGCGCCACTTCTTGGCGGGAAATCTATGACAGTGCGACCAACATAAACTAACCTAAAATCCCTAGTACATCATCGTTTCAGGAATATACAAATCTATCGTCCAATTAACCGAAAACTCGTACGTTGGTATCAGACGAAAGACTTTATATGCCGATTGAGGTTAGGTCTCGGCCGTTGTTTATAATAGTAGTTTTAAAGATATGTTAGTAAAATAGGTATAAATAGGATGTTTAAATGATATATTTAGTTAAATTTCGTATACCTTAAGTATCTTATAAGAAATTTTTAACACATTTTACATGTTTTACATAAACGAATGTACTGAAGATGGAAGTACCTACCGTAGGAAGTTTACCGTAAGTAAATAATATTTGAAATTTTATTTAATTAATGAAATCTTTGCTATTTCTATTGCTTCATAAAAATGAATCTTTTTCATATTATCACTGTCGCGAATGACGAATTCATGTTATATGGAATATAAGTTATTGCAAGGAATTATGGTTTTTAATATCGGATACGGTGTGCCGGTGTGAAAAACAATTAGTAGAAGATGAAATTAAAAAGGAAACTAAACTGCTTAAAGAAGGGCTATTATTTTTTAAGCCATATACCGAAGCATCGCTTCAAAACATTCCCAAAAATGATCCATCCCCTAGAATGTACGAATTAATTAGTAAACTGGCTCCACTTCTCGTATGTATTACAAATAAATTTTTGCGTCTAATTTTTCTTTCCTTAATTATCGTGAAAAATAATCGATTCATTCTGTTTTCTTTTTTTCTTTTTCTAGAATTTAGACGCCATAATTACATGGGATTTAGTATGTAATTTTATAAAATACGAGTATCGAAATTGCGCGGAAACTTTCGCATCGCAACTTATAGATTTTACATCGATGAAAGCATTGATCGACGATATTTGGGAATTTTATTACTCTGAAAGAATGACCGTGATAAAGTGCCTTAAACTTATGGTCGAATACAAAGATAAAGGGCATCGTTATCAAAAAGAATTTGCAAAGTTTTTCGATGATGTCCTATTTGGAGGGCTATTAGAATCTATTCGAAAACAGATAGAAGCGTTAAAAACAGTAAACCCACCGATACGATCGCAGCTGTGTACAGAAGAGTACCTACACAGATTATACAACAGTAGCCTTATAGAAATGCGGGAATTACTGCATATATTAACGGTCATCATTCACGATATTCATATTGCCGAGACCGAATTTATGAAATTTTATGAAAGCATCGGAGTAAGCATTGCCCAAAGTTTACATATCTTGGTATATTTTGTGGATAGTATCTCATATCTAATAATCTGATAATTTTACATTTACAGGGAGAACCAAGGCGATTAGCAAGTACAAAAAGTCACGAAGATAAAAAAGCAATTGCCAGAAAAATTAAAGAAATACAGTATAGTCAAGCAGCTTTATTTTTAGTAACATTAGATGTCAGAAAACAGTATGTTTTTTTTTATACTTTTACCTAGAATGAACTATAATTTTTATGTTAAAAATATTTCTTCTTTATAGTCCCAACATGGAAGAATGGATACAGAGCGTAAGAAAGAGTATGCAAGAAACTTTTGAACAAAAATGCATTCGCGACAATTCTCCTCAGGATAGTCCACTATTCTTATCCTGGATGTTAGCAAATTATGCCATCGATCCTGAAAATATTGATACGATGAATCGATTTAGACCATTCGGTATTAAAGCTATACAACTGAATGTTTTTCATTATTTACAAGATTTGATGAATAGCGAAATGATTTGTGAAAAAACCCATTATGCTGAAATTGTACGGAGCAGTGTATATAATCTTCTTACTTTGGTATGTGCTTTCGTTGACGAAGATAAATTGAACGCGCTAAATGATATTTTCAATGCTGTAGCTGCTACAATTCAATTTAGTGAAACTGCGGCCCGATTTTGGGAAGAGCGTAACGATGGTTTGTGGCTGATTTATAAATTCGCAGCTGAACAGTTTCCGTACGAGTTTGAACCGTTAACGAACATTGCAATTGGATTGGCGAGCGCGTCAGAATTAAGTGCCGAAAGAATCGCAATGGAACTGGATAATCTTCAATCGTTAACATTGGAGATACCACGACAACGAGACCATAATAAACCGTTGAGACCATACGAACAAGAATGTACAATTCACAAAAACTCGTATACGATATTAGAAGGTTGTCCTCGTGAAAATATACGTATATTGTCAAGTGAACGGGAAGTAGTGATATTTCGTCAAAAGGCAAGCTATTGGGACGCTTTACATCACAAGATAGAACAACTTTTTTCTCAAGCAGGTGGCAGAATTACAGGAACTAATGAAATGAATAAGAATTTGCCCGAACACGTCTCACAGGGCTTAAAATTGTTAAAAACATTAGCCAAACGTACATGGATACGACAAAGTATGGTCATTCCAGCAGAACTAAGTTTTGAAATTATAAACAGATTTTCTTATCCAGTATTACCTGAAGAGAAAATGTACATATACAAAATAGTTGCAGCTTGCATCGGTATTTCATCCGAACTCGTGTTGGAGTATCCGGAAGAAATATTGTCGCGAATGCGAGCTGGTGTTTATCCAAGATTCAATAATCGGTATCAAAAAACATTAGATTTTGCAGAAGCGGTTTCTTTCGATGGTGGTATAATTGCGTCGTGGTTATCTGCTATAGAAACGATTGCACACTCGTATCCAATTCTAAACGCATATCTAGATATTTTATCGAAATATTTAATCCGAAAGTATAACGAGGAAGCTCTATATACAATAGAAATACCTGGTATGGTATTTTTATTGCAAGGTGTTTTACCGAAATTAGATTCTTGGTATTTCGATTTGGACGCGGAAAGAACCGACTTATGGTTAAAAAGTATGTTTTGCCTTCATAGAGCGCTCGAATCTAGTCTACCAAAGGAGGATATACGTAATGAATTACAACTTGTTGTCGCGTATAGTTTACTGTATTTAGAACCACGACACGCATTATTAAAACTGATTCGTACTGGCGAACGTACTTTGCATAATAAAATGATGGCGGAAACAGATTGGATTCGAGGAAAGGGATTCAAAGCGATGAAAAGCGTACAATTAGCCTTGTCCGTGGTAAATAGATTACTAATATTTCGAAAATCATTGGGTCTTGAAATAAGAGATAGGTCACCGTTAGAGGCTGCCTTATATTCTTCACCTCGTGTACCAAACGGTCTCTTAATAGTGCCAACAATTGTAAATTATCTGTATGTCTGGTTTAGTCCGCCTTTGCAAGCGATGGCTGTTAGACTGTTGAAAAAATTTGCCGAAGGATCATCTATGTCGCTTCTAGTTTGTATGGGTATGGACGGTACCGCTATACGAGAGACCTTTGCCTCTCGTAGAGGGCTTATGTCGCCAACCTGTGTCGCGGATGTTAAAGTCGCTATTCTTGAACTGGTTGCTGTGTGCCTAGAAAAGCAACCCGGCCTAACGGAAGCTCTATTTAATATCGTACATCCAGCAGAATGCAAACGAATATTTCCTCGATCGGTGGAAGAATTTTTTACAGAAGGATGCAGACAATTTCTAGTTAAATACCTAAATCGAATCTATGAAAAAGATAACATCGTGTGTGACAAATTGTATAACAGCACGATGACGTTATTACGAGCAATGTGGTATCATAGGAACGAGATTCTTGTTAACTTTTTTCGAAAGCGGGAGAACTTTTGGACTCAGTTATTTGCTCCGCTTTTTAGAGAAATAGTATCAGGTGTGAAAGGTTATTCTCATCTGCTGGATATAATTACTTTAGAGCTATTCAAAAGTACCACGTTGGAAGACGATTTTAACACGAACCTGAAGAAACTTTTAGATAAATCAACGGATTATTGGAAGAAACTGACGATATATATACTGGACGATGTACACGCCGATAGCGAAGAGTCAAACAGAAATGAGAAGCGAGATAGTAATGTTACGGATTCCTTGTATGAAACTAATTTGGAATCTTGGTATAATTTTATCGTCACGTTAACCGACGAAAGAATAGCAAAAAATTATCCTATTAACGTATCCCAAGCGCAATTGATAACGCAACGTTCTTTAGAATCGTTATTGGAACGAATCAAACAATCTTATAATGTTTCTAGCCAAAAAATTACAATGTTACTGGCGTCTTTAACGCTTCGATGTATCACTTCTTGGAAACAGATGTGCGTCGATGATTCTAGAATTTTCAAATCGGGATTGACCCAGCTAATGCAAGAAATCGGCCAAGCTTATCGCAGTTATGGAAAGTCTTTGCGTCAAACGCTGATTTCTCTACTTCTCGGATGCGTGCAATGTGTGAAAAGCACTTTACGCGAAGACGTGACGAGTCTCGAATATCTTTTATCGCATTCCTGTATAATCGCTGCCAGCGAGTTAGAGGAGTTGAAGGAAGTCGCTACTGAATTGGAGAAACGAAAACAGCAACAGTACTCGGTTGAACGAAAAGGTATTGACAAAACAGTCACCATCGATAGCGTGATCGCGCAAAAGAATGCCGATGAAAGAAATGCGGAAACCGTTCGCGGGATTCGGGAAAGTTTACCAGCAACACTGGCTGTTTGCATGGTTACCCAATTATTACGCTCCTACGTGGAACGAAGTTCTACCGTGAAGCATCAACGAAAGTCTAGCTGCGTGCAACTTCGACAAATGATACCGGAATTGATGACATGCATCGGTATTACTTTGCAAAAGTATCCATATTTAAGGTTTAGTACGGCCGCTCTTAATTTGCTCAATTTAATCATTCGTTCACCGTACACTCTACATCCCGTCAATGAGAATGATATTGCGAAACTATGGTTGAGCCTAATTCCTCCCAGCGACATTGGAAACAGTATGTTGGACTCGTTGTACAACGATTGCCCGAATGGAAAGTGGCGATGCCAGGATTGGTGGCCGCTCTATACGCTCGGTCTTGAATTTGTAATAGGACTCGTGACTAGAGAAACACCTACCATCTACATAAAATCTATCGTCATATTTTTTAACTCTCACGAATATCAATTAATGGTTGCATCGACCTTGTTAAGACATACAGCGGATCTTTTTGCTGCCGATCTGGTACAATCCCTCGTTGCTCTTATTCATATCGTAGCAACACAGCCGTACGTTTGGAATTCGATACAGCCAAACGTTTGCGAGACTCTGATCAAATGTATGTATTTGGCATACGATAATACCGTAAACTTGTTACTGCGACCGCGAATTCTCAAGTTCATCATCGACGGTATCAGCGTAGAAAGTGCCGAGGAATTGGAGTCTTGTGACAAAAGATCACCAAGTGGTGAATTAAAATTACTAGTTAACAAATTGATCGTCATAAACACAACTTGTGCGTTAAGCTTCGTTCACTTTTCACCAAGACTAAACACTCTCGTAGACACTATATATACGCAAGACTTTTGGTATACTCCCATGGCGGAAATGAACTTCGGACCACCCCAGATGAGCATGAGCTCCGGCCCGCGATTAACTTACGGCACGATAATCAGCTCGACACAGTTATTTACGCAAGCTTTGCATTCTCGATCTCAACCTGTGAGTACTTTGTCCGTTTCTCTCGGTGGCCAACCAGATAAATCAGATTCCGCTAAGAAGGAATGGGAACATGCCGCGCCAGAGGATCGACGAATGCATTCGAGCAAAGATTTAAGGAGGATTATCCATGCGGCATCCGGTTCCACTTCGAGATCATCTTCCAACGTAGCGAGTGAATTTTTGGTGTACGTTAGTGGCCTAGATGTAACTGTGCCACTGTTAAGTAGCCCAAGACTTGTGCGGAGACCGTACGATCCACTTATTTGTGAAAATACTATTCTGTCAAGAGCAACGGCCTTGACAAGCGGTAGACACGTAACGAAAGGAGTGTCTGCCGGAAATGACAGCCCTGTCGTAGCGAAATATCAAAAATTTAGCGACCCTTGGTTCGAATCTATGGACGAAAATAATACGAGATTCGCTCTTGAAGTCAATCTCGTGTTAATCTTGTGTCAAGCCCTAGAAGGGGTCAGGAGTCCAAGAATCGCACTTCGAGATCGTCAGCTAATAGCGCGCGAAACGGTGACCGAATTAGGAGTTTTCTTCGATTTTCTGGAACATCGAGGTACTCCCGACGATTGGCAGGTTAAAGGATCGTTAATTAATCCCGACGCCAAAAGCGTAAGAACTATTCAACAAACTGTTGACTTCAATCAAGTTGTCTTACCCGCCAGATTAAAAGAGACAGAAAGAAAGGAACTTGTAGAAGACATATTAACTACGGGAAAATTCACAACCAATATCAGTAGTGTACAGTTTTTACCTTTGATGAGGAAATTATTGAAAACAGTGGTGGAATCGCTAGATTTAACACAGTATCCATAACAGCATCGAGATTGCGATAAATCTTTGAACTCTTTGAAAAAGGGAAGAAAACGACAGGAAAATATTCGGCATCGTACAAAAGAAGTAAAAATTTATGATTATTTATAGTATATATGGAAATTCACAATAAAGTAACGATTTTTTATTTAAGATATAATTCTACGTCTTCAGCGTGTGTAAAGGATAAAGAAATTAAGTGCAAGGATACACAAATGTGCTGTTTAAAATTTGTTTCTTATAAATAAAATATGATAGAACGACGACCAAAGTATTTAGAGTCGTCTAACATGTTGTGTATCCTTGGTGAAAATACAAAAGAAAAAAGAAAGAAATAAGTACAGTTTCATTAAATTTCATTTAATTTAACCATTTTAAAAGATTATCGAAATTTTGATTTTCATCAAACTTATAGATCGCTTTTTTTGTACACTTAGTAGTATCAGGAGCTAGACACGTGTTTAGTAGAGACGTGCGAGAATCAAAAATATCGGGTCGGGTCAGATCAGGTCTCGAAAGTATTTCGAGAATATCGGGATTTGTTAAGAATTTTCTGAACCCGAACTCACTTTGTCATTAGTATCAACAGAGCTAGTCCTAAAATGTAGTCCACATTCTCGAAATTCTCGAGAATCCCGATATTCTCGAGTCTCCAAATACTTTTGGGGTCCAACCTGACTATGGGATTCTAGCACATCCCTAGTGCTTAGACGACAACAGTATAATTATTTTCATAAATTTTGCATCCAATTTATACAATCCTGCCATTTGTAACGTTAATAACGTTTAATTAGTTTGTAAAGTACGAATACTTTAAACTCATCTTCCTGTATGAACCTCATCTACGGAACCAGAAGTAGTTGTCGGAAAGTAGAAAGCAGAAAATGGAAAAAGCTATAGTAATTCACGTTCACGTGCCACTTATCCTACTTAATTATCTTTTCGATTTACTTATTTTGCTATCATTTTATTTTAGTTTTGCGAAAAACTTGTTCTTTGCTTTGTTTCTGTTATATCGATCGATAATCATATTTATACGATACAGTACAAAAATATAATTCATGATATTAACGAATATTATATGTTACGACAATAGTGATAACGCGAGTGTTAAATGGATCACATCGCACCAAGACATAGGACGTCTTCCAGGCTTAAAACCTGAAAGTCGTGTTCGACGCTAAGGGGGCAAATGAGGTAAAATGTTCTCTGGCGATGGTGAATCGTGTACATCGTTGCTTCTCGACGTCACTCTCGAATGATAGAAATTATTAGAGGCGGCAGAAGTGATGGTAGAACTGCTTGTAACCGTACTTGTAATTCCAACGGCCGTAACCATCGGAACGGTGCTAGTTGTTGTCGTATTTATCGTAATTGTCGTTACAATAGAGGAGGTAGAGTGACTTCGAGACGTCAAATTCGACCACATATGTGGGTTAGTGTAGCTAGAATCGGACGGTGAACATTCGGAATGACGAGTTGACGTAGTACAATATATAGATGATGACAATGTAGTTGAAACAGAACCTGAGGACGATACAGTCACAGCGGTTGATACCGGTGGTGGTGGAGGTGGAGGAGGGAGTGGCGGCGGTGCTGGCGTTGGTCCATTCGAATCTGCTAAAGGATCAATTACGGTACCATCCCATGGTTCCGCCGATTTTGCTTCGTCATTGTTTGGAGCATTAACGGTTGTCCTTTGCCGTTTCGCATCACCATACAATAAGCAATGAACATTTGGTGAACTGCTACGATCGCGAACACCCTCTTGTTCTTCCAGAAATCGGTCCATATAGTCCCTGCTTACGATTCAACGATCTTGTCATACTTCAAGTTTTCAATCGTAACATAAAAATATAACAACAGAAAGTATATGATTTCATTGAAACTTAATTTAATGAAGATTTATTTAATGAAAGAAAAGAAGAAAAAAGATATAAATACAGTATATTCGATCATTATGGCAATTTAAATTTATAAACATTTGATCTTCTAAACGATTAATTCTATTTGTGTAAATCAGAGAAAATACTCACGTGATACCAGGATGTAAAGCATACTTCTTCTTTTCTAAGCGAGCCTTATATGTAAATATATCATGCCGTTCCGTTTTCTTCCAAAGATAATAAAATTGCACCAATTCGCCAACAGATCGCGTTCGAACCTGTTACGATGACCTTTATGTTATGTACAATTGTTTCTCGCTACTGGAAAGTAGTTCGAGGTTGATGCATACCTTATTCTTCTGTATAAGATGAAAATCTTTTCCGTAACTTCGTAATCCAGATTCAAAATTATGACATTCTTCTTCCGACCAAAGACTAACTGCATCCGTTGGCGGTACGACGTTCATTCTTCGTCTTCTTAATGCCTCCTCGAGATTGTAACCACATTGTAACAATAGATATAAAGCTTGCTCGTCGTCTCTAATATGAGATCCTGTCGGCAGAGAACCACCTTTTACGGCTGGTAACTGTGCCCGTTCTAAAAATTCTTCAGTTTCCTCTTCGGGTATGTGGCTGGGATCCCACAGCATTTTGTCCTCATTCTCGTAAGGTAAAGCATCGTCGTAATGACAGAGACCTTCTGGTATAGCCGCTTGGTAATTAATACCGACCATGATTGTCTTCTTCCATTCTTCTTCGTCTGGACTATAATCGCAATCGTCTTCTTCTTCTTCGCTCTGTGGTCGTGAAACGCTTCGCAATAATCTTGACGTACCGCTACCTATACCACCGCTAACTATTCCATCTTCTCCTCCATCTACTATACCACTGCTAACACTACCTTCTACTCCACCTCCCGTATTATCGTTTGTACAGCTAGCAAGCGCGGTTATGCTACTGCATTTGGCAGTAGTAGTGCCACCCATTGTTGAAGTCGTCCTTGTATTTTCATTGTTACTACAACCATCGATCATAGAACATTCTTCCCCTTCACCTTCTTCATCGTCTTCATCATCATCGGGAATTCTGTGTCGTCTGTTATTGTCTCCAGTACCTACATCACTGGTATTACTTCCTTTCATCGTCGATCCTGACACCAACGATGACGAATCTTTTCCTTTTACCAACATCTCTGTGTAAAATTGCTTGAGATCTGGCTCGTTACTAGTTGCATCCGCTTCGTCATCATCTTCGTCGTCATCCGCGTCGTTATCTCCCTTATCTGAATACTGTTCTTCAATTTCTGGATCGCCGCTTCCAGATGGGATTAGCATTTGGTCTGAACTGTTTGAGTTTTCTGTAGACGGGTCCCCGTATCCATACATCGCAAGTAGGTCTTTTAGTGGCATATCACCTTCCTGAAAGGAGACAAGAACACAAATGATTACTATGCCACATATAGCAAACCGACTAAACATACGAATCTCACTACGAGAACGCACTTTGAGTCCAAAGTGTTGTAGAAACTTATCATAATTGTAATTATTTATGGGCTTGATTTTTTCATTTCACAGGCTTGATCCTAGAATAGTTGGGATCAGAATCTTGTTACAAAATGAACATCGCATATGTTAAATATTTAGCTCTGTCAATTCAGAATTATACCTTTTGTAAGTTGGACAACTCGTTGTGAGAATCTTCACTACCTTCTAAAGCTTCTTCTTCGTCTAAAGTCCGTTCATCATCAAAATCATTTACCATCATTTCTGTAGTTGGACCCATCTCATAATCTCGATCTGCCCTATAAATTATTAAGTACATAAAAATTTGTTTACATATTCTTCTTTTAGAATAGTCATTGATTATCAAATATATTAAAACCTATTCATTGATTTATCTATACTAACATGTTTATATTTTTTGCAGTAACCAAAGTTGAAACATATCACGTAGATGTTAGATGGCCGTATCTAAAGTAATACACTGAGCGATGCACACTATCAAAATGATGAAGAAGAGTGTTCTTGAGCTACCTACGTTGTAGATTTTCTCTGGTTTCAATAATTTATTTATAAACACTTTTATCATATAAACAAAGTAATACTAAGAGAATGTAATATGCAACTTGTAACACGAATCTAACCTTAAATTTTTATGACATTAATGCTGACATTTACATTCACGACAACCACTCATTTTTTTTAACAAACAATATGATACAAATCAACTGTATTCTAGTTTCTTGTTTCTGGCACTCCGTACTATTTCGAATTTCACTACACCTCACTAAGAATCTTTGATTACAATGTACATATTCACAAAGAATAGAAAATTTTTTCACACAAAAGTTTTATGATATATCTAACATTTTTCTAAGGCACATTTTTAATCAATGACAAAACAGTCTCAACCGTATCAAAAAAAATCATACAGAACTCTGATAAATTTTGAGAAAACAAACTGAAAAATGCACAATACATTATTTATATTCATCAAATGTTCCATTACGCTTCTATATCATTCTGAAAAGCGGGAAATTCATGAAACGCGTTAGAACAACCAATCACGAACACTTACGATTATGTAGAAAGTGTTTTACCATTGGTTGAAAAACGTGTTTTCCTAAATAAATACTTTTGTGGCAATTCTTGTAAATGCATCCTTATAAACTTTTAACTTTTCGTTAATTCTTAATATTTACATAGTATAGATATATATTAAATCATATACATATATAAGTCTTATACATATTTATATTTTAATTAAAAAAGGAAAAAGACAATGTATTTGTAATACTATGAATAATGGATATATATTACATATGTATATGCTATACACACTTTCTTCTACATTGTTCTACATGACAATAAAATTAATACTAACGATTACTTTAAGAATGATTTATGAGTGTCATTTATTTAAATTAGTATTGACGTAAAAAAGATATTACTCAATATATTTTGTCTATTACAATTTTACTTGTCATAATTTATAGATCCATTTTTATAAAGTTTGATATATATATATAGTGTGTGCCAGTATAAATAAAAATTATAGAATAAGTACAATATGCTGCCTTTTGTATTCAAACGTAATTATTTTAAAAAGGAACTGGTAAGAAATTCGCCAACTTTGTTTATTTAAAATATAATTTATGTACAACGATTTTATGATTACAATAAAATATTTATATTTTAGATTAAGCAGGGTAAAGTAGAATTATTTTTACAAATTCCAAGGTAAATAACACTTGAATATTCAATATATTACTAATAAGTAAAACATTATACTCTTACCATAAAAAAGAAAAGGAGAGAAATATATATATACATATATTTTTTCTACAGAAGTATATCTGTAAAAGGAGATGAAGCATATCAATATATTGAAAAAAGTAAGACTCCAACAATGCATTTTCAACCATCTCTACCACGTTTACCTATTCCAAAATTAGAGGATACATGTAGAAGGTATCTAAATGCACAAAAACCATTGTTATCTAAGGAACAATTAGAAAAAACTGAAATTTATGTTAATGAATTTTTGACTAAAGATGGTATTGGATTGCACAAAGAATTAATTGAAAAAGATACTAAAAATCGTGATACTAGCTATATTAGTGAACCTTGGTTTGATATGTATCTTCGAGATCGTAGACCTTTACCTATCAACTATAATCCTTTCTTAGTCCTTAATCCAGCATCAAATCCAGAACATAATATACAATTAGTAAAAGCCACAAATCTTATTGTATCATCATTACGATTTATGAAGTCTTTAAAAGAGAATGTTTTACGACCTGAAGTATTTTATTTAAAGCCTAAAACAAATGAGAATAATGTTTACCATACTATTACAAGACTTCTACCTCCTCAATTCAGTTGGTATGGAGCTTATTTATTTAAGGTAAAAATCACAAGTTCTACATGAATTATAAATACTATGAAATAATCTTTTTTTATCCCAAATAAAAAAATTTTTTTCAGGCCTTTCCATTAGATATGTCACAATATCACAACTTATTTAATACAACAAGATTACCAAAGCCAGAAAAAGATCAAATTTATGAGAATGCAACTGGCAAAAACATAATTGTCATGAGAAAAGGGCACTTTTACTCTTTTAATGTAATAGATGAAAATGGCTATATTCGTAAACCAAAGGAAATAGCCAGTTGTTTAGAATCTATTTTAGGAGCTACTATATCCATCAATGAAAGGCCTATTGGAATACTTACAACATCAGAACGTGACTTGTGGGCCAACACAAGAGCATATTTGTCACAGATTGGTAACCAAGAAATTTTACAAAAAATAGATTCTGCTATATTTACAATGATATTAGATGACATGCATGTTGGAACTGACTATAATGAGTTAATTAGGACATATCTTCATGCGGATGGAACAAATAGGTGGTTTGATAAGTCATTTTCTTTAATTGTTACAAACGATGGATATGCTGGAATAAATTTTGAACATTCATGGGGAGATGGTGTAGCTGTCTTAAGATTTTTGAAGGTAATTCTGTAGAAATGAATTAATAAGTTTTTAATGTTCAATTTCATTTCTTTCTCTTTTCTCATTTTAAGGATATAGGTAATGACATAACAAAACAACCAAAATTCTGTGCTGATGATATTAAATATCTTCAAAAAGGAGCAGTAGAAGTTGAGAAACTCAACTTTGTCATAGATGACAAAGTACAAAATATTGTGAATAGACAAAAGGAAAAATTTGGAGAATGGATAGGAGAATTAAGTGTTGATCATATGATATTTAATGAATTTGGTAAAAATGAGTGTAAAACATTTGGTGTAAGTCCTGATGCAATTATGCAGTTAGCTTTCCAGCTAGCTTTATATTATCAAAGGAACTATGTAGTACCAACTTATGAATCTTGTAGTACAGCAGCGTTTAAACATGGTCGAACAGAAACTTTGAGATCATGCACAATCGAAACGAAAAAAGCATGTGAAGCTATAGCTCAAAAAAATAATAATTTATCCAAATCTGAATTGAAAAATTTAATAATTAATTGCAGTAACGTTCACAATAAACTCTCCAAGGAAGCTGTTATGGGTAATTATAAAACATTAATTTCATATCAATAAACATTGAAATGGTACTGAAAGTTTATTCACATATTTCCTTATAGGGCAAGGATTTGATAGACATTTATTTGCGTTAAAAAAAATTTGGGAGCATTCAAATACTCCGAAACCAGCTATTTTTTCGGATCCGGCGTATGATAATATAAATCATAATATTTTATCTACATCAACTCTTTCAGATCCAGCTATATGCGCTGGTGGTTTTGGACCAGTAGTAAACAATGGATATGGAATTGGGTAAGATATACTTCTTCTTTATTACTTTACAAGCATCATATTTGCAATTTAATAACATATATGGAATGTTTGAATATTTTGTTTGAAACACATTATTCTAATGCTTAGATACATGATTCAAGATGAAAGATTGGGAGCTATTGTGACAAGTTATAAAAGGAATAATAACGCAAACGAATATGTAAAATGCTTGGAGAAGGCATTTAAGAACATTCATTCTATAATGACTTGTGGGAAATGATAGTATTACATATGTGCAATTATCCAATTATTATTGTATTAAGGATGAAAAAAATTTTTAATATTGTTGGTTATATATATATATATTATATATCTTGAATTTTTATACAATGTATTAGTTAAGAATTTTTGTACTATTATAAAACAAAGAAGTATATTTTTTGTATTATCTAATAAAGATAAGACAGCTCATAAATAATATTATACATAGTATATTTTACACATATACTAATGAATGTAACATAGTATCATATTTATTTAATGTAATATTTCGGTTAAAAAAGATATATACAGTAGACACATTTGAAAGAGAGAGCGCTATAACGCACTCAGAACACCAATCAAAAGACTGCATTACAGCAATAAACTTTACACTAGCAGAAATAGTTATTTATACACATGGTTGATACACAAAAGTCTATATACCTAAGTTATTAATTTGTAACAGCTATTCAAATTGAAATCTCCCTGGAACCTCTTGTAACAACAAATACCAACCTTGTATAAAGGTTTTTTATACTAATTTAAACAAACAAATTATGCTTTTTAACATCTTTTCCAGTATTTATTTTCTTTTCAATAAACACTATTTCTTTTAATAGTTTCTTTTGTATTAATCTTCTTTTTAGTCGTCACTAAATATGGAATGAAATGTTGTGATTCTAAAAAATACTTCATGGTTTTTTTCGTAGCATTTCTATTTATTTTAAACTTATACCTTATCTCCCATTTTTACTTTAGACGTCTATAAATGTAAAAAAATGTATTAATATTTTTAAACATAGCAATATTTTTAATGAGTAACTTACCATATAAATTCCAACAATTAATCCAAAGAGTCCAATAGCAGAGCCAAAGATTTCTACAATTAGAATCTTAACAAAAAGAGCAGAATTTGCTGCATCAGAAAGAGCTGCACCAGAACCCACAATGCCAACGGCTATACCACAAAAGAGATTAACAAGACCAACAGCTAGGCCAGCTCCAAATATTAAATAGCCGGCTAACCAATTTTGATTGCGAACTTCTTCCTTTTGAATAGGATAACTAAATTCGTCTAACATTCCAGATAACACAATGGCAGTGATTAATCCATAAATAGCAACAGCTTCGCAAAATATTACAGAAATTAAATTTTTCGTTTTGATTCTTGGAGCTTTTACACCACCTCCAATAATTGAAACTCCTGTGGTATGAATGCCTCTGAAACAATGAATTAATATTATTGTCCAATATATATATATATATATATATATAAAAGAGGGTGTGTTATATATATTTATAAAAGAATGAAACTTACAATGCAGCACCAACTACAGACAGAGCAACTGCAAGACCAATACCAAGAGTTGCCCACATATGTGGTGATGTATTTTCTAAAAACCTAATAATGTTGTCTCATAAAAATATCCTTCTATACATACATATATACATATTTATAACTTTTTGTATTTTGGAACTTTGGATAAAAACTATATTTAACTTAAACGTGCTTACTTACCAGGCGACGCTAACACGCTCTCCTTTTCCAGTAAATACATGATACAATACTGTAATAAAGCATTATTTACGATATTTAAGATATTTAAGACATACTAAATTTTACAAAGGTAAAATGTCTATAATCAGCTTCTTGTTAATAAAATTTGCAACAAATTTGCTTCACTTTGAATAACTAGTTTTTGTAATATTTGATTTTATTTGAGAAATTGATATATTTAATAATTTAATAGATAAAAGTCAATTAATACCTAATACTAGAGTAGTTGCAGAAGCAGTGCCTGCAAAAGTAGTGCCCAAGATGTATCTCATTGTGTTACTTTTAATTTCTGTTTTACGTGTTTTCCTTAAGAGAAATACGAAAACGCTAACAAATGAATAATTTCAACTTTAAAATATATGTTAACAACGTAGTGTTTTCGAAATATTTAAAATAAGAACATTTCATGTACGAAGTAAGAGAACAGCGCTCACACCCGTTTTTATCATGTGACGTTTAGTATTCTTGATGGTTACCTACACTAGTGACATCAATTGTAAAAAAGTTGTATTAAAAATCAATGTTTAAATTTTAATTTCTAACAGAATTTGCAAATTGTTATATTTAGAATTACTTAAAATATTTCATAAGCATACACTTGTATTTTTTGTAGATCACTAGAAATATTAAAATATATGCATTATATTAATTTTTGTTTAATTTTGCAAATTTGGTTATATCCATTTTATTGTTGAAATTTTATCAAATACTAAAAGCTGGTAATGCACGACAATAGTATTAATAGTGTTAGTACGTTTAATGTGTTATTTCTTAATAACAATCTTAAATTTAAAATGCTATGATAGGTATCATTTATACGTCTGAGCGTGGAATCTAAGATCTAATTTTAGAATTTCTTACAGCTCATTCGTCTTGTTATGTATCTACAATAAACGTGCAACTGCTAATTTGATGATAATTACATAATTTATCAATATTTTATAAAATCATGTCTTTTACCAAAGGGTAAGCAAGCAATTTTTCTTATGATCTTTTATACATTTAGAAAAATATCTTTTGCATCTTATTTTCAAAACTGAACTATAGTTAAGTTTGTAAGCACATAAATTAATGACAAGGTTTAATTTATACGTTAAAATACCACGAGTAAAAAATAATACCACCGCAAATACATGTGTAAAAGTTAAAAAGTTATTACTCGAACTATTTCGGTCTTCCGTTAGTTACCATCTATTAACTTCCACTAGCACATTTAGAAATCTAAATTAGCTATGCACATGGCTATATGAATTATGCGTTAATTATTAAATTAATTTTATTATTGAATACGTATAAATGATTGAAATTTGTCATAGGTACATCAACTTCAGCGAATTTTTCAAAGTTGCTTATAATGCTGCAATTGTAGAACCATATGCAAATCGTTTCAAGGAATTTTCTGAAAAGGGAGATAGGGAGGGAATGATAAAGATTCTTATAGACATACCCTATATTGAAAACGTAAAAATAGTTGAATCATATAGGGGTAAGGATGATATTAAAGCAGCAGAACTTTACAGGAAAAGTCGCGGAATAATAGCTAAGGATGGAATTGTGCACGAAGAGACAGATAAAAGTAGTATCCTTACTGAAACACTGTTTAAGGCCAGTGTAAATAGTAGATTGTTCCTGGATGCGCTTCTAGATTGCGCACAAGATTGTTATAATTCAAAAGCTTTCGTAAAATGCTTGAAATATTGCGAATGCATGCTTGCACTTCCTGAAAACCTTCACGATAAAACTACTGAATATTTGAACGATTTCTCGGAATGTAGAAAAGCATGTATCCAATTAGAGCGTGAATGCTATAAAAATTTGAAAGTATCATCTTCTCAGGACAAAAGATTGCGTAAAAAATACAATAAAAGTCAAAGTGTTACCTTCGAGAATGCATTAATAGAAAAAAATGCATCAGTGATACCGATCGTTAATGGGAAGCAACATACCGTTCTTAAAAGTTGTTCGGATGCTGTTGAACTACAATTTGATGAGAAACGAGGTCGTCATCTCATAGCTACCAGAAACATCAAAGCAGGATCTGTTCTTATTGTCGAAACACCATTTGCATTCAGTACAAATAAAGAAGCGCTCGATAGAAATTGTTTGCACTGTCATATTACTCTTAAATCGAGCGAAAGTGTTAAAATTCCTTGCCATTTTTGTCAAACAGTTAGTAATATAAATAATCTTGATTCGTTTTTATCGTGTTTCATGTTCGTGTTTGTCTTCTCGTATTTTATTATTCTATTAACACGATGTTAATATATTATTTTAAAAATATGAATAAGTCTGTACTTCTACAGGTATCTTTCTGTTCGGAAAAATGTCGCAGAGAAGCGTGGCAAATGTATCATCAATACGAATGTTTTATATTTGATGCTTTCTATGGAAATGATTTTGAATCAATGCAACACACATCGCATTTGTTGCTAGCGTATAGAATGATAATATCAGCGTTTTTATCTTTAAGTACTGAACAAATTAACAACAATACGGAAAAAAGCAAAATTCCTTTTATGAATGACAATTTCCTCCGAGATTATGTTACAATAAAAAATAAGGAATATAAAGATTTAGGCATAAATAAAGCTTATTGTACTTACGATTACCATACTATATTAAATTTAGAAACTCATTGTACGAAGATAGAATCTAGTATAAATCTTGCTCGTGCTATTGAAGCTATATTTTTAGCGAAGTGCTTTACTTTTGTCTTGAGTAAAATGGACGTTATTTGCTTAAAAGAATCTTTTATCTACTTGGCAGTAGCAATGTTGCATAACTTGCAGGCTATTAATTGCAATGCTTATGAAATTGTAGAAAATATATATGATAAAAAAACGCATGTTTGGGAACCCAGAAATATAGGTGGAGCAATTTATCCTTCAATTAGTCTTATAAACCATAGTTGTTATCCGAACGTAGTTCGTCATTCTTATCCGTCAGGTAAAAAAATGTGCTTTTAATTGCTTTTAATTAATGATTTCTTATGTTTTATATATTATAAATAATCTAATAATAATATATAATAAATAATCTTCGACAGGGACAGTTGTGCTAAGAACATTGCGTTTTATTGGTAAGGGTACTGAGATTCTTGATTGTTATGGGCCACACTGGCTTAGCGAGAAAAGGTTATCAAGGCTTGAATACTTGTGGAAAAAGTATTGTTTCTTATGTACATGCGAAGCTTGTACACAAAATTGGCAATTTCCGTTACCCGAAACAATGAATTACAAATGCAAGATGTGTTCAGAAATTATCGGTACAATCACATTAGACGAAAAACATACGCAAAACGTATCGAGTAAACAATGTTGTAAGTGCAATAAAAAAACCGATTTAAAAAAAATAAAGAATCAATTTCGAAAATCAGTTGAGAAAAGATTAGATGCCATTTCTAAAATGTATGAAGGTCATTATGAACAGGCACTCCCTCAATTGCTTGAGCATATACAGTTTATTGAAAAGTGTTTTACCACACCAAACATGGAAGCTATCAAAACGCAACAATGTATTATTCAGTGTTACAATCAGTTTGGCTGTACTTCTTAATAACAATAAATCAGCAAAAAATATTAATATGTGTATATGTATATATATATATGCATTATATGCACACATACATGAACACGCAATTGTACACATGACTTAGGATCTGTATCACAAGTATTAAAAAAAACAAGATTTTTTATATTATATACCTTTTGCATAGATTACTATTCATTTTTCAATTTTTTCATGTGATGCAAAATGTTACAAAATATAATAAACTGCTCAGCATTCATAATCGTTTACATTTGCCCTTACATTTCGTAGTTATAGAATGATTGATGTTTTAATGTAAATTAGACATTCGCATAACTTTGGTAAGGCTTTCAAAACTGTGGTATGAGCACCATTGTTGTAAGTGGCAATATCTTGATCATTTAATATCGATATTTACTATAAATGCACATGTGACTGTATATTTTATTTCTTATATCTCTAAAATAAAACTAAAAGAAAATGTACATTAAAATCCTAAAAATTATTGTTGTAATTGTAAATACTACCTGAACGAAAAATACAAATTATATACAGTGTTTAGACGTACATGTGATCGTATCTGTCAATTTATCTATTAAACCATCAAATTGTCTATATTGTACTATAAATTAATCATGTGAATAATATATAAAATAAGTTACCACATGTGCGTTTCGCGGATTTCACTAATAATGTGACCAGCTTGTGTTAGTGCCTGTAAGAAAGAAAGAGAAAAATGTACAAACAGATTAACAATTTAGATTTATATCAAGAACAAAATTGTTATTATTTCTGTCTGCATACCTTTAGCATATCTGCTGCTTCTTTGCGTCTAACAGCAACATGTTCACTTTCATTTAAAAGAACATCTGCGTGATCTGATTTATATAAATGTGTTACGAGTTCACTTTGTAAATTATCTTTTACATAGTTGACTAGGAAATGCATGACAGCTTTTGGTACACTATCTTGTATAGATTTTCGTACAATATAAAAGTATGATTTTATTAATCTTTCTGTAAAGAAAAGGTGTATATAAATATAAACAATATAAAACATTATTTTCTAGAAGAGTGTACTACATTTCTATCCTTACCAATTACATCACAGTCTCGTTGTTCTCGCTCGCTCAGTTTACGAGATGTTTGTACTGGTACTTCCGGCAATAGATTTACTGGTTTCTGTTGTGGAGATGCTTTCTGCATCTCAATTACTAGGTTTGAATTTTGGTGAGGAGAAGTACTGTTCTCACGATTTCTTACTGGAGAACCATCAATCGAACTAGTCGAATCAGTTCTTCCTTGAGGCATAAGATTGTTTAACAACCAGTTGCTTAATACCATTTGATGTCCTTGTTGATCCTTGCTCTGCTCAGGAAAAGATGCTACTTCATCTTGATTATTGATTGACTTTACATTCTGTTAGGAACGTTATATGCATTTAGTTACACAACACACAAAATACATTGATCAGAGAATATTAATGTTTTAATAACGAAATAAAATAAAATTATGTATTAATCACATCTTTATAAAAATACGTTTGAGAAATTATTAAATATTAAAAAAATATTTTTGAAAATATTATAACAATGAATGATGGTAAATACACTGATTATACATGTTTTATGACTATTATATAAGTTTAATGATTACTATATTTGAAATATTCTAACACAATTGTGAATGTTATCAATAATTACTTACTGTTTCATTTGAAACTATTACTTGAGTAGTTGTTGTGGTACTTATAGTAGAAGGAACTTTCCTGTTATGTTTTACATGATCCACATTAGAATTTTTTAATAAAGACGACACAAGAGCTGCATCCTTATGAAAATCTGGATGCTTGGTATTAATATATGCTAATTCTATAGCAACTAAATTTTCAACCATTTGATTAGTAGGTGGAAGACGTCGACGTAGTAAATGCGTTACAACATCAACGATACGCTCGTGCAATTTTG